AAAATGTCAAATCGTAGTTACTTTGGGGCCTACTCCAAAAAGTGCGTTTCGTGTGAAACGTTCATCGATTTTCAATACCCCTGAAACGAATTATTGTTTTTTTTCGTTTGGTTGGAGAAAATTAGTTACATCTGACCACCAGTCATTGAGCAACACTTCTTTTTCAACTTACCTTGCAAGGTCTTCAGCGTCGACTCTTTTTGGCCAGCTTTCCCAATTCCTTCCACATGAACGTTAACATCCCCACCCCACCCCAACCCAGTGACGTGACGTCAGTTGTGCATGTGACGCAAGTTAACATGAACGTTAACATCCCCACCCCCCCCCAACCCAGTGACGTGACGTCAGTTGTGCATGTGACGCAAGTTAACAGGACAGGGAAACATAAAAACAACCAACCAAAACACCCATTGAGTGACGTGACCGGTCGCAGTTGTGCATGTGACGCCAACGTAAACATGAACGTTAACATCCCCACCCCACCCCAAACCCAGTGACGTGACGTCAGTTGTGCATGTGACGCAAGTTAACATGAACGTTAACATCCCCACCCCACCCCAAATCAGTGACGTGACGTCAGTTGTGCATGTGACGCAAGTTAACATGAACGTTAACATCCCCACCCCACCCCAACCCAGTGATGTGACGTCAGTTGTGCATGTGACGCAAGTTAACATGAACGTTAACATCCCCACCCCACCCCAACCCAGTGACGTGACGTCAGTTGTGCATGCTCAATTCAAGAGCAAATTGCCGCCATCAGCAAAAATGCAAAACGGCAGGGGTCGTCATGGCGCCGTAGGCGAAAACAAGGACGGGAGCCCAGGGGGCAAACCTGCACCAAACACACTAACAAACATCTGGAGAGAAAGCCACAGTGAAGAAGAGTTCCCGACTGCCTGGAACCCGGCATTTCGTCCCAACTTGCGAATTGAGCGTGGCCAACTGGAGCAGACAGGTGGCATCAGAGGGCTCCTACGGAATGGAGTAGGCAAGCAAAAACATCATGAGGAGCGAATGTAACGCAAAGCCGCAAATGCTGAGATAACAGCTTGGCTCCAAAATCAAACAGCTTAGAGTCGCTACACCCCCCCCCCCCCAACGCCGATTTAAGGGGTAGCCCGTTCGCCAATCATTTGTTGCAAACCTTTTGGGATTCTGACAAGCTCTACCTGATTGATGTTGCTTTTGTGGGGAAATCGAAAACAAGGAGGGAGCCCAGGGGGCAACCCTGCACCAATAACACCTACAACATCTGGAGAGAAAGCACAGTGAAGAAGAGTTCACGACTGCATGGATACGGGACATTTCGTCCAACTTGCGAATTGGAGCGTGGCCCAACTGGAGCAAGACAGTTGGGCATCAGAGGCTCTTACGGAATGGAGTAGGCAAAGCAACACATCATGAGGAGCAAGTGTCACGCAAAGCAGCAATGCTGAGCTAACATCTTTGGCTCAAAATCCAACAGCTTCTTAAGAGTCTCTACACTCAACGCCGATTTAAGGGGTAGCCCGTTCGCCAATCATTTGTTCCAAACCTTTTGAGATTCTGACAAGCTCTACCTGATTGATGTTGCTTTTGTTGGGAAATCGAAAACAAGGAGGGAACCCAGGGGGCAACCCTGCACCAATAACACCTACAACATCTGGAGAGAAAGCACAGTGAAGAAGAGTTCACGACTGCATGGACACGGGACATTTCGTCCAACTTGCGAATTGGAGCGTGGCCCAACTGGAGCAAGACAGTTGGGCATCAGAGGCTCTTACGGAAAGGAGTAGGCAAAGCAACACATCATGAGGAGCAAGTGTCACGCAAAGCCGCAATGCTGAGCTAACATCTTTGGCTCAAAATCCAACAGCTTCTTAAGAGATTCTTAAGAGTCTCTACACTCAACGCCGATTTAAGGGGTAGCCCGTTCGCCAATCATCTGTTCCAAACCTTTCGAGATTCTGACAAGCTCTACCTTCAACTGGAAATCAAAACATCTTTATATCGTCTTCCTGAAAATCTTGCTGCGCTCGAATTGCGTTTCATCGGCAAAGTGAAAACAAAAAGGCAGGCCAGAAGCAACCCTGCTCCAACTGCACGGACAAAAACTGCACCTTCTCTTGGACAAGCGTGACAAGGAATTGATGGTAGTAAGCCCACCATCGTTACCTTTCCTGCACCGCTTATACTCTTGCGAGCACACTAGCTGGCGACAAACGCCCATTTGATGGTCAAATTATCACAGAACAGTCCGAGTGGGGCTATGGGGCACCAACCATTGACTGGGAAAAGGGCTCTGGTCCAACCATCCAGTAAATAGATGCACATGGGGCTAGAGCTTACAACCATCCAGTCGAAGTTTATTCGTTGCCACCAGCCGCCAGCTGAGTGGTTTCCAGTCGACCACTTGAACCATAGCTGCCACAGCTGTTTCTGTGGCAATACTTGGGCTTCATGGAAAGCACGAGCGTCACAGGGTCAGGGTGAATCTGCATTCACAGCGGGAATCGAGAGCATGGTCCAACTGCAAAGTGCAGTCGGTTCTCGAAGGATGGCCTGGGCAGAACAACACATCTCGAGAGAAGAGTTCCACTGAGCCTAGGTTTTGCTCGAAACATGCAAATCTTTGGTAAGGAATCTTTCACAGCATCTAACAGGTTAGCAAATTGCCCTACACTGAAAAGAGGGCCATCGCATTCGGTATTTTTCCTTTCGCAGCATTTGGGATTGCTGACGAGTTCTGCTGCAAAACACCCAGAAATTCTAGCAATCAGATATCAGCTCAATCTCATGGAATTAGCTAGAAAAAGCTGAAAACAAGGAGGCAGCACAGAGGGCAAACCTGCACCAATAACACCTACGACATCTCGAGAGAAAGCAGAATGACGAGTTCACGACTGCATGGACAAAGGACATTTCGTCCCAACTTGGCAGTGCCTTAAGCCCAGCTGATGACATCTGTAGAGTTGGTGAGTCTGGTGTGTTCAACATTAACCATGCACTGCGATTGCGTTCAATACCAGCAGGGGGCTGCGGACTTTAATCCATGAGTTTGCACCTTTGGATCTCACAACTGCATGATATGTGAGGCCAACATTTGGACAAAGTCTTGTTCAAACGGCCCTCCGTCAAGAGCCGGTTGACCTTGGTCCATGACTCTGACACAAAACAAACTGCAGACTTTGCACCTGTGGCTGCCAGCTCTCAAAGGGAATGAAGAGTGCATGCATCTTTGGCACAGAATCTTTCGCCACAACAGATCTACGACACTTTCTACACTGAAAAGAGTTGCTATGTCAAGACATTGCCAAAGTAGCCTCACATCCAACGGGGTTTGGAGGCTGACTGGCACGGCTACCCTGATTTGCCAGTTCAGAAAGGCTTGAAGTGGCTGCATGCTTGGGTGAAGAGATGGCATCTTCCATGCACAATGAAGAGACCGGAGGAAAGTTCCAATGTCCAATCCCTTCCGGTTGAAGTTTCAGGCTTCCCTTCCGTGCGCACCTTCGCTTCCGCCTCCTTCGCTTCCGCCTCCTTGGTCCAAGGGACCCAGCAATTTGAAGGTACAAATCCCAAAGTCCCACAGACACAAACTCAAAGCCACCAGATAGATCACAAGCTACCAGGTTTGATGGCGGATGACAGGTTGCCATGCTTGAACTCAGGCATTGTTTCTCCGACCGGTGCTTGAGATGTGGTGCTCGGGTCAGATGAAATGTCAGCTCTGGACATATCAACAAGACCTGGCCATCTCTTGTCTTATGGCTTGTCACAAGCTGCCAGCGTGTGACGAAACAGTTGTGCATCTACCGCTCTAAAAGTGGAAAGTGATCGCATCACAAGTCGGCTTGAAATCGCTATTCATGTTTTGGTTTCACACAGGCCTGCCAATCAGAGCACAACCACCGAGTCGAAAAACATGTTTTGTTACCTTGCCTCTGTTGAAGGAAGCCTCAAGCAACGCGTAAATTCCACGAAGTCACGAAGCCTTCCAGTTGCAAACACAGCTTGACCACGTTTCAGGCGAAGGGGCGAGGATTTCCTTCACTTTTTGACAGCCTGTTTCATCACCAGCTGTGGCGAAATGATCTGGCCATGGCACATGACGATCCAAGGTCGCGTCAATCCATGCTCCCGTGAGCTGGATTGCAAAGTTGCAGATCTTCGGCCAAAAACGAAGCTCGACAACTGCAAATTCTATGCTGATTATGCTGTCTGATTAGAGTTTGTCAACCTCCCCTTTTTGAGCAATTAGCCAATTTTTCGCCCTTTGTCGACAAGTTTGTGTTCCAACCTCCAACGTGGCCGACGTGGCCATCATGGAAAATCGCGGCCTTGACAAAGCGAACTGTTGGTCACTGATCTGGTCCCGAAGTCGACTATTGGAGTGTCACTTAGCGCTTGAGTTTCAATGGTCATAGCGGTCATACTTTCTAGTCTCAGTTCGATGACTTCTGCATCTGTACACCATGCTCTGATCTTCTGGCCATAGGAATCAGTCGATCAGTTAGGCGTCTACAAAATTCCACGTCTTGCCACATTTTGTCGCCTCGCGGTTTCGGACAAAATCAGGTCAGCAATTAACACATTCAGTTGCACTGGCAAATTCATCTTGCGATCCTCGACATGAAGCTTTGTTGTATTTGTTGCGGATTCACCGGTGTGTAGCTCCACCTTTCCAACATGAGTAGCAGGGCTACTTGGGATCCTCGCTCAGATAGAGCATTTATAAGTTCAGGCTAAGCGTTTTGTACGTGGCTTATGTGGCTGCTAAGTGGTTACTTAAGTTGCTAAGTGGCTGCTAAGTGGCATCACTTTTTTGATGGTTTATAAGTAAGTTGGCTTCGTTTATAAGTGGAAGCTAAGTTAAGATGCATGATATCACGAAAGTTAGCGCTAACTTAGCGGCGACTTAGCTTTTTTTGAAAAAACGACTTTTTATTGTAAAGAAATGAAAATGGAAGAAAATAACATATGTTTCGCAGCTTTTGTCTCTTTGCGTTGCATAGGAAATGGCGTCGCGTCCGAAGCAGATCGAAGCGGCCCAAAAAATCCTACGTGGAGTTGTGGCCTTGTCAAGTTTCTCTGAGATACGGGAGAAACAATGGCGCGGAGTCTCCAAGTCATTGGAGAAGGTGGCCGTGCTGACACCTGCTCAAGCGGCAGAGTGGCTCGCAGCTTTTGATGGTGAGCTGTGGACAGCAGCCCAAGTGGCGGAGTATCAAGCGTCGATAGCTGAGAAGACAAAGGCTTTGGAGGAGCAGCCCATGCGTGGCACTGGTCAGGATTTCTTGATGCTACCATACTACTTGACTGAGGAGCTGGCTACCATGGTTCTTGCGGGGGAAGACTTGGACCGGGATGCGTTGCTACAGAAGTTGTGTTATCATGCGTCCAAGTTGACGCTCAGGAATGCAAGTGAAGCTTCGAAGGCTATGTTGCTAGTTTTGGCCAATTGGCGAGCTGTGTGCAAGATGTCACCACAGGATCAGTACCAGTTCTACGTGAACAAAAAACCTTTGGTGACTAAGTATTTGTCGTCTGCACTTGCTGGTGGCCAAGCGCTGCCTGGTTTGCCAATGTCTTGGCAAGAGTTGCCAAAAGATTTGCTCAGCGCAAATTTCCCCATGGGGAAGCCAGCTGTCTTGGCTGCATCCATCGCGTCTGAGAGCTTTCAGACGGCATTCAGTTCCTGCCAGGCTATCCACATCGGAATAGTTGTACTGTGTACACCGTGTACGCCTGCCTTGTCTTGGCACTAGCCAACCTTGCGGTGAATAACAAAAATATTAGGATTAAAAAACTTAATTAAAGGCCTGCCTATACGACTATAAACTCGTCTTACACCACAAACGCAGAGTCAAGCATCTGAGAATCTGCATATCAGTTGAAATCTTTCGGCTGAAACGTGAGAAAAACGGGTACCCTGCTGGATTTGGGAACTTTCCCAAGGCACTGCAAGAGGGCATGTTTTTTGTTGCTTTTATTCAACAGCATGCAATCCCATCCATGATTTCTACCAGTACTCATGTTTTCCACCCCGTGGGAACGGAACGCTCGGCCTCTGTATCCGCTGGTTCTTGGCGAATACGTTGAATCACACGACGCCTGGGACACCTCAAGACATGATGTCTTGGGCCGAGCTACACCGCAGCCCCCAGGGAGCCTTGTCAAAACTTTGTTTGCTGCGCACAGGCCTGAAACATAGGATGACTGCGGCTCCGGTTTCCTGGCCTGGCGCCTTGGGCTGAATGGATTTATGGTGGCGCGTCGCGCCCCTCTTCCACGGTGAAGCCTTCACTTCCGAAGCCGGTGTTCAGCAAGGTTCCTTTGGGCCCCCTTTTCTTCGCGCTGGCCCTTCAGCCGGCCCTCCGCGCGGTTGGCCTTCGCACCTAAAGAGGCCCTAAGCTCCTGTTTGCCTACTTGGGTAATGATTGCCTCGCTAAATCCTGGCACGACTTGGACGCCTTTCCTTCCGGCTTCCAGCTCAACACTTTTGGTCAATTCTCCATCCTTGGTGCACACATCGGTCCTGCCTCCT